CAAAATTTCCAGGTTAACTCCATCTTGGTGGGTTTTTTCACTGGGAAAAAGAGGAGAGGATTTTGAAGCATTTACTGTCTTAGTCCATTCAATGAATCAAACTCAAGTTTGGGAAAAGTCTATAGGTTTAGAGTTACAAGAACTAAATTGGGACTTCAGAGACTCCAAGATTTCTCCATCGTTCTTCAATATGATTGTAATCAAATCTTTGCTTCCACAAGCAAAACCCCCCTCTCCCCTCTCTTCCTCCTTTTCTTTTGAATACAATAGTTTTGCTTTTCTGCAGCAAATGACTCTTTTACATAAGGTTTTTCCCCTGTTTTGGTGACGGACACTTTATCTTCTTGATGATGTCAGCTCGCCCATTTGCAAGAGCAGCCATGGGAATTGCCCTGGTAGAAGAAAATAATTTTTTAAGGAAATGTCCCATAAAGTTAATTTTTATGCATTGAATACAACTAATTGGACAAAAGACTTTTTTTTTTAGTAAGATGTCAGGATTTGGGAGGGGATTTTAAACAGTAAGTTAGATCAATCTCCAGAGGCTTAAGCAAGTGTTTGACTTCAAACTTGAAAGCTTGCTCGATCATTTTATCATTTTAAAAGTCTATTTTACTATTTGCTATAGGATCAGCTGAAAACGTTTTGAAAGGCTCTTTTTTTCTCTTTTTTTGTTTTTTGTTTTTCTTCTGGAGAGATGTCCAGGCTGCAGTGCCAAAATAGGGGTTGTATTAAATGCTTGACTGGAAAAAAATGAATCATTTTCCTAATGATGTGAGAGAGTCCTATAAATAAAAATGCAGCTGGGGGTGTCCTGACCCTACCTTCACTGTTGGGTCAGGGTTTCCTCGGGGCTGTGAGCACTACCAGCCGCCAGTTGGATGCTAACTGTGTTCATATGAGGCTGGTCTTTCTGCTAAGTGAGCCGGACGTGTGACTAATGTGCCCTTAGTAGCGCTGCACTACAAGAGTGTTCCTCTGCTGGCATCGTTCTTGGGCTGATCTGTGCTGTGTTTTCAGGAAGAAGTCCCTCTCCGGAGTGGGATGTTGCTGCAGCCTGCCATGAGCTGTGGCTCTTGGACCGCTTCCAGCACCCTGCCTGCGCCAGCTACAGCAGGCAGAGGTACTCCCACAGCAGTGCAGCGGAATTAAGGGCTTGATAAGGACATTGATTTAGACCTTATTGGCCTTTACGATGACCAGCACCACTTTGTAATGACAAATCTTTCCTCCTGCAACATCGGAGAGCTCTGCCTTCTGTGGATGGCTGAGCAAGGGTTGGCTTGAGGATGTTGCATGCACTTAGGGGATCTCTCGAATGTTCTGCTCAGCTCCCGTCTCTCTTCCTTTGTTTCCACCCCTTGGCTGTGGCACATGGCACTCACACTTGGTTCTTGCCCTGGTCCTGTTTGTTATGCAGCTGAGCAGGTGCTGGCTAAAGAAATGGGTAGGTGGGGGCAGGAGGAGATGCTGCCTTGTGTCCTAAGGTCCAGAGTTTATACATACTTGCATCTCTAGTGGAAGATGGCAAATCATCCATGTAATTCGTTGGGACAAGCCTAAGTGTTGTTCGTCCAGTGCATTTTCTATTAATCATGCAATGGTTCTGCTCCTAACAAATATCAGCAATGGTTGGGAGAGGCCCCCCAGATATGGTGCATTTAGCTCTCAGGCAAGAGGAGAAGATGCTTCCTGATAACACCTCTCCTTGGGGGTGTTCAGTCTATGTGGGAAAGCACAGCTGCTCCCTTTCAGGGCTAAATACTTAAAGAAGAGCTGAGGTTACTTTTTCAGATGCCATGAATTGAGAAGAGGTAGCACTCAGAGCAGAGGACACTGATAGTTCCTGATTTCTAACAGGTCTGTGCCATGGTGGACTCCTTTGTCTCAGAGGTCGAATCTCTTTATTCAGGAGGAGCACTAAGGAAAAGCCTCCTGCGTACGCCTGCAACCTGCTTTCACAAAGCAGGGGTGCACCTTGTCCCACCAGGGCGGTGGCAGAAAAAACTTGTTTCTTTTGGAAGCCAAGCCAGGAGACACTTGGCAGGTGGCTCAGTCAAGCCTGATCTTAAAGACACCTGAGATCTTGGTGTCTCCCAGTTTGTCAACCTCATGGAAAGGTTCAATAGGAGGAAAGGCCAAAAGCAGAGCTAGGATTTAGCTTCTTGGTCCACTGCAGTCTTGGCACAAGGTTTGGAGCGATGTCTTTATTTTTTTGTCATTTCCTGGATGAGGTAAGCCAGGGTGGGCTGAGCACTGAGATCATGCAGATGTGGCCAAACAGAAGATTTCCAAGGAAATGAGAGAGTGTGGCAATGTCCTTCTTAACCATCTGGCTGGCAGAGGCTGCACGGCTCTTCTTTGGAGACGCTGCCGGGTCATTTATTGCCTTGCTTGGAGCCTTGTTTGGGGCTGAACTATAGGTAAGAAGTTCCTCTCCCAAACCTCACTTCTTTGATCTAGACTATTGCAATAAATGCTTACCAGTGTCCCTAAATTGTCCCCACCGTGGGGCCCAACATTCAGGCATGAGTGTGTTGTGGTGATGATTGTATATGTTTGGTTTATGATGAAGAGGTTAAAACCATGAGAATAAAATCAGTAGAACAGCCCTGCATCTGATTAAACCCCATCCACCACTTATCTCTGCCTCCCAATGGTCTTGCAGTATATGTTCTTTCTAGATGAAATCTCTCCAGGGTTTGCTCTCGGGCCACTGATGCTTATTTTTGATGGTGCCTTCACTCCATTTGATCTTGCTTCAGCTCTGGCTTCCCAAGCCATGTCCCAGCTGGTGGATGATTAGGTGGGAAGTTGATTCTTCCTGCTCAACAGCTCATTCTTGGCCAAGCAAGCTGCCCACCCAGCCATCTGCCACGTGCTCACGTTTCTCTCTGCCTTTTTTCACTTTTGGCGTAGCTGGTGACAAGAATTTCTGAGTCAGCATGTGGCAGGCAGTTGTGCAGAGTTAGGAAGAATTTACCGGAAAGATTATTAACATAGCAGAAAAATCAGAGGGGTTTGGTACCATTTGGAGCTCCCGGCAGGTAGGAGAGGTCTGACAGTGTTGCTGAATTGCAAAAATGCACTCAGTGATGCTTTCCCAAGCTCCAGAAGGTGCCAGCATGCAAAATAAAAGCTCTGAGATTCATGCACAGTGCAGATTTACGGCACAGCAACATGTACTTTTAACATAACAATTTTGTTACGTCAGCCATGTAGGAATGTGCTAGTTCCTGCATCTTCCTGAGGCATGGATGTTATTGTAGTTCATCTCCTGCAGGACAGATCCAGAGATCAACATTTTGCAAAAGCAAGCGTGCAGCGGGAGTTCCTACTGATGTGGAGAGTGTGAAAGGGATATTTAAAATATGCAGGTTCATTTCTCCATGCAGAAATACCAGTCTTGTCTGTTGTGGTTTGCAAACAAATTGCAAAATACCTGCTCTGTGGTTTTTGGAGTGCTGCACTTGAGTGTGTAATCACCGGGCAGGTGCTACGCTGCAGCAGGGCAAGTTTCACTGCAGGGCTGAGAGGTGGCAAGCTGTCAGGAAGGTGAGTTTGGGCACTTGCGCTTTGCTGAGGGTACTTGGCACAACCAGGAGTAAACACAGCAGAAACACACCTATGCGTCTTGGGAGAAGGGATTGGTTTTGGCTGCTGGGTCTTCTGCACGTGCTCATTTAGTCTCGCTGCTGAAGCCTGAACCCCTGGGGATGCATGAAAACTAAACCACGGTGGTGCTGTCTCAGCTTTGCAAGCTCAAAATGTTCAAACAGACTTTTGACAACCCCCTGCAAAAAAACAAAATGGAACAAACCACAAAAACCAAATCTTGAGCTACTTACCTTTTATTTTCTGAGTCACCAGGATGTGTTGGGCTCAAGCACTTTTTCAGGGTCAGGTCTAGAGAGGTTTTGGGTTTTCGTTTTTGTTTTGCTGTGGTACCTGGGCTCTGTGTTTCAGACAGCATCTCATCTGTCCCCTACACTCAAACCCCCAAATAATTGATTTTATCCTTTGAAACAACTGCAGAAGGGGGAAGCGAAGTCCGGGACCTGCTCTGGTCCGGCAGCAATGAAAATGGGAAGTGCAAGTCCTGGAGCAAGAAGATGCATCACTGGAGGTGGTTGAGACAACAGGCCTGAACACCTTTTTAGCCCAGGACTTCCCATCAAGTCATACCATGGCAGCATGGGGTGGGAATCGATCACATTCAGCCAGCTCTGGAGGAATTGCTTCTCCCTCCCAGAGCTTCTTCCAGTGCAGTCTCACAGTCATGGCACCAACATTGAGGCTTGCTGAGACTTAACTTGGAGGCAAGATTTATGACCGTTATTATGATTATTTTGGACATAGCTATTCTTACCTGTATGTTGAAATGTTCTGGAGCGCGGTAGCTGTTCAGTGTGCCCACAAGCAATTGCAGATGGCAAATTTGCAGGCATAAAGAGGCTAATTTTGGAGCCTTTCACTAAAATTGAATTGAAAATGGGCATGAAATTCTGAGTATAGTTATAAATCACTGTGATGGGAGATTGGTCTCTGCTGGGATGCTGGCCTCTCTGAAAGATAATAATAATAACAGGTGCGGAGAGGAGGGTATTTTTTCTCTTCCGTTACGGAATAATTTTCACCCGGATTTCTGTGCAGGCAGAGCCCTCTGTTGCATACAAAATACCAAGTCTCCAATGAATGCTTATGCCTTTGCTGAATCATGTTCAAGTGTTAATGGCCCAGCAAGCAGAGGAAAAAAAAAATCAGGCTATTTTGTTAACGCATTTAAAAGTGACCTTTTACTTTATTGTCTCTCCCATTCCTCTTTTTTTTTTTCCTTGCCAACATTTTTTTTCTTGGACGAATGAAAGACGATCACTTCCCTGTTGTGACTTCAGACGTAGAAATATTTATATAGTGAGATGTAAATCATGGGAAAGCCCAGACCCGCTTTTGTACTGGTGATATGAAACTGATAAACCTGTGTTCGTGAAGAGTCCAGCTGGGGAGAAAATATTTATATCCCCTCCTCCCTTTTGAGACTTTTCCTTTGGCTGCCTTGGTTGGAAATGTAGTCCTCGCAATTAATAAGGTCTTGTAGATATTTTATGTGCAAAAAGTCTTTGTTGAAGTACAGTTGCCGGAACTGCATGGCACAGACAGGCTGTTTACTCTGCATCACAGTGGAGGGGCTAGGGCTGCTCTGCCCACAGCAGGTCAACATTAGGAAGCACCAAAATTCAGGCCTCTGGCTCAGCATCATGCCGGTGCCTTCTTTGCACCAGGAAGGTGTTAGGTGTTGCACTGGTATGCATTAGGTGTTGTTTTCTCTGCTGCCCGTCCCACCGTCTTCCCTGGCTGGGTCCCAGTCTCACTCAGCACAGCCTTGCTATGTCGCCGTTTCTTGCCCCAGCTGCAATTATTAGCATCCGTGTTATGTTAAACATGGCAAGTAAATTAACACCTTAAGTTGCTTTTGTTTTGCAAGCGTAATTAAAATAATAGGCGAGTCTGCCTGTATTTTCAAATGCTGAAGAGGCAGGGAGTGTGCTGCCTGTATCTCTGCATGGATTCCCTGTCCTCCCCTCTCTGCCTGCGGGTGTATCAGTCACCTGGCAGCACTCCTGCGGCAAAGCAAGTTGCCTTCTGCTGCTGCCGGCAGTGGCAGACACAAAGGTGTTGCCACCAGAAGTGCTCTGAGCAGAGGCAAATATTGTCTTTAAAAAATGAGTCTGTGCTATTCAGGCAGCAATCCAACTTACGCCAAAGGCAACTATTTTCTTCGTTGTTTTCCCTTTTGTACCAAATTGCCAGAGTTCGCTGCAATGACTCATGCAGATTTTTAATGAATTTGCATTTCTCTCCCTTATATTAGTCCCAGCTGAGATTTTCTTTTGTATGGAGAGCAGTGAGGTAACATAAGTGTTTTGTTTTGCTTTGTTTTCATTAGGGATCAACCAATGTGGTTTACCAAGCCCATCATGTCAGCAGGAGTAAGAGAGGACAAGTCGTCGGTACCAGGGGTGGATTTCGAGGCTGCACGGTTTGGCTAACAGGTATTTTCATCTCAGCATGAAAGCATGGCTTCACGTGTGAAACCCATTTGCATACATGAGTATGGCTCGGAGGTGGGGATTTGGGATCCGCAGGAAACATCAGCGTTCCTTGTGAACTGGGAATTGCAAAACCCTTATACGTGGGAAACACTGACACGTGGTGCTGGCGCCGCAGCAGCTGCTCCCTGGCAGCTGCTGCCCATAACTAATGTTTTTATGAATTTTACAGCTGTTATCAGGCTCCTTTGAAGACATCAGAAGCTCTAAGGGTCGCACTTGTTGTTCCAAGTGTGTGGCTGAGGAAGCCTTGGCTCAAATCCAGCCAGTCCTTGGCGTTGAAACATGCCCAGAGTTGTCCAAAACAGCATGCAGATGTTTTCGTTCTGGGTTGGTGGGAAGTTCATTGGGACACCTAAGTTTACTGTGTTTAAAGTGACCTTGTGAGCAGCACAACAAGGCAGTCATCTTGTCTGAAGAATAAATACTCTCAGACAGCGAGTCGCATTGGAAGCGTTCCTCGTACAGCCCTGGCGAGTTTCTTACGTTATTTCTCATTTTGTACGCCTTCTGATGTGTTGCCCTTCTCTTCTGCTTTGAAAGACAGATAAACTCATTGCTTGAGGATTAGGGGCTGTTAGAAATGACAATTGCATTTATTTTGCTCTGCTAATATTTGCACAACTCTATCTTTTGCCGCTTGTCTGGTTGTTTCTTTGCTTGTTAAATATTTTCTTTGACTGCTGGAAGATGTTGAAAGACGTACTTGGAAGGGTTTGTAAAGCCATTCTGATTTGCCTTCATATCAGTTTATGTGCTAGATTTTGGATTAAAACACATTTCTGTTTTGTTCTCCTTAATTTCGAAAAGAAGGCCAATGCCTAATCTGCTTTAATATCATTTCTGAAGACAAAAAAACTGTCCAAGGCAATTTCCTTCTTTTTTGAATATCACTCAGAAATCTTGTGTCTGAAAGGTTTGAGCGTCTCTGGCTGATGATTATTCTTTGAAATAGACAGTGGTTTCCTAGCTTTCTATCAGTATAATTTTAGGTGACTATATGGAAGGACATTTCATTGCATGGACTATATGGATTAAATGGAAAGGCATTTGAATGCCCTACATTGCCAGCTCAGGAGAGCTATCAGTTAGTCTGTTGTACTACGAAAACCAAAGGCACAGCCAGCAGCATTCATCTCTGCCCAGTCAGGTTTCCTCTCCAGCACAAACATGGCTGTTCTGCATCAGCCAAAAGTCCAGCTTACCCAGGGTCTTGTCTCCATGAGTGGTCGGTAGTAGATGTCATGCAAAGGGTATAAAAACAGGTGAGCAGATGATGTTATCTCCACAGGAGATTCTCCAAGGCTGTGTTTCCTGAGACAAGTGTGGTGTTTGGAGGTGTTTTCTATCCTAAGTTAAGGTCCTCTTCCATCTCAAGGAGGTTTCAACTCATGGATTCCCACCCAAGGGAAAGGAGTTTGGTGTTCCAGGTGCACTTGTCGCTTTCTGACACAGCCAGTAGCAAGTGCTTCTTGTGCAAGTGGATGGATCTGGGATGGGAAGGAGCCACCTCGTTTTGGATTGTTGTCTTTCTGGCTGGTGACTCCAGGAGATGCAGGCAGCTGAAGATGCTTGTCTACAGAACCATCCTGCTCCTGCTTGCACAGATCTGTGCGTGCTGCTCCTGTAGAAGGAGGCGTCCGTGGATGCAGAGGGGCAATTGCTGCTGGAGCCTATCCCACCCCACACAGTTGCAGCAAGAACCTCTCCTTGGGTTCAGTCTGGGAGAGCAGTTGGCTGTTCATAGGGGAACAGGAGGAGGAAGAGGAAGATGCTGAGAGATTCACAGGCAACAGCATCCTTTCAAGCTTCTCCTACTTACTGGTACCTATTTGTCCCACCATGACCTAGCAAGAAGTACTTTTGCAACGCTGCTGGGTTGAACCCCTCGAGATGTTGGGATATAGCAGCTTTTCTCATGGCATTAATGCCATCCACTAAGAAGGGTTGGCCCAGGGCTCTGTGGTGGTAACTGCGTGCTAAAAAGATGAATCCAACTTCCCTACCTCATTCCTTCCTTAAAGCAACTTCAGACAGAAGGACTTTCATTGCCAGTGTCCCAGGAGGTATTGTGTTACACTACAATTTTCACTCTTTTGACTTCAAACCTGAACCTCACTTTTCTGTCTCCAACAGGCCTTTCTGGAGCTGGCAAGACAACCATTGGCTTTGCTCTGGAGGAGTACTTGGTCTCTCATGGCATCCCTTGCTATTCCCTGGATGGTGATAATGTTCGCCATGGCTTGAATAGAAACCTCGGTTTCTCGGCTGAGGACCGCGAGGAGAACATCCGCCGCATCGCAGAGGTGGCCAGGCTGTTTGCTGACGCTGGACTTGTCTGCATAACTAGTTTCATTTCTCCTTTCACAAAGGTAAATTTGCTGCATCATATTCTGCTCTTTTCTGGGCAGCCTTGATTTTGTGATTGTTCTTAGGGAATAGAGATTTACATAGAGGACTTCCTATAAATGCCATCAGACGCTCCTTTTTAACTTCTCTATTCTTTTCTAAAACACCACTGATAGACAGAACTACATGCAATCGGTACAAATTTCTGGAGGGCAGTTTGATGTGACCTTTTTGAATATATTCAATGTGACAAAATATGTTTTGAATATATTCAATGTTGCAAAAAAAGCTAAGAGAAATTTAAAATCTCTCTACAGAGGCTCCTACTATTGACTTGTTAGGAGACAGAAAAGAGGCATAGAAGCAATAGCCTGTTATAGTGCTATCACCACTCTGTTTGAAGAAGTATTGATTGTATTTTTATGCTTCCTGAGAATACCAAGTAGCTGCTGTTATCAAGCCGATGCAAGCAGTTCCTTTTTTCGACACAGGGCAGATAATTATTCACATTCTAAAGTTACGCTGTCCTGCTTAACGAAGAGATCTTCTTGATGTTTCAGATTGAAAAAGCTGAAAACAGATCAAAGTTGTAGATTTTTTTTGAAGTATCATCTTTAAAGAAAAGAGGGGAAGTGAGATGAAGAACCCTTATTGGAATTAGTGTAAATTTAATAAATTTATACCAGAGACAAATTTACCTGTGTCCAATAATGGTTGGACTTAATGATCTTAAGGGTCTTTTCCAACCTTAATGATTCTATGATTCTATGAATTCCAGGGCACATCATGTAGTAGGAAGGTGCTTGCTGCAATTTGGACACATATGATTTTCCCGTCTTTCTTCTAACAGGATCGTCAAAATGCACGGAAAATTCATGAGGCAGCTGGACTTCCTTTCTTTGAAATCTTTGTAGATGCTCCTCTAAATATTTGTGAAAGCAGAGATGTGAAGGGCCTATACAAAAAGGCAAGAGCTGGAGAGATCAAAGGTATGGAAGAGCGAGATCTTATTTTGCCTTTTGCTTTCTGAAGCATTGGATAGCGTGTTGTTGCAGCTCTGCACGTAGAGGTGGGTTACTAAAGGCTCTTTGTAGCGCACAAGAGTATCCGGTTTCCCTAGTTTTGCTGTCACAAGCGTCACTTGTAGTACCCACTATGTTTGAATGTTGTTTGTACAGTGTTGTTGGCTTTAAGGCACAGAGTATTACATTAAATGAATTTAATTTGGGTTTAATTGTCCATAGGATTCACGGGGATTGACTCAGAGTATGAGAAGCCCGAATCTCCTGAACTAGTGTTGAAAACGAATGTTGCGTCGGTGTCTGAATGTATTCAGCATGTTGTGGAGCTCCTCCAAACACAAGTAGGTCATTTTTATGCCACCGCTGCCAGCAGCTTGTAAACTTGCTTTTGGACACTGACTTTTTGGTGTGCATTTAAAAAACAGCATGTTACTTACAGTTGCTGTCTGTCTCTCTCTTTCAGAACATTGTGCCCCATGGCTCTATTAAGGATGTTCTTGAGCTGTTTGTACCTGAAAATAAACTCAGTAGTGTCCGAGCTGAAGCAGAGATGCTGCCATCCGTAGAGATCACTAAGGTATCGTCATGCACGGATGCTGTGCTGTGATTCAGTCACTGTTTAGCTGTTTGAAGAGTAGAAGCTTCGATGGGGATGTTGCTTGAGGGGGCTCTGTTCCTCTGATGGCTGTGTCCTTTTGTGGCTGTGGTTTATGGCGAGCTGAAGTGTGGTCCTGATCCTCAGCCATTTTCTGCCATGTCTCCACTCTGTGCTGTAGCCAGCCAAGGCCGTCAGTCTCCTTTGTTGTGTTAGTACAGCCCCGCAAGCAGTTGTGCTATGAAAGTACTTGAGTCTGGCTTACAAAAAAAAAACCAACAGAACAACCCCCCTGCATGGCTTTCTCCCCCTTTATGAATGTCCTATATTTGAAGAAAAGCAAATGAGAGCACTGTTACAGCAGAAGGGAAGGAAAAGCAACTTCTGAGCATGACCTGGTGACAGGAGTGCCATTTGGGTTTGTTTTGCAGCTGGATCTGCAGTGGGTGCAGGTGCTGAGCGAAGGCTGGGCCACTCCGCTGACCGGCTTCATGCGCGAGGCGGAGTACTTGCAAGTGATCCATTTTGGCACCCTGCTGAATGGTACGAATCCCCACGCTTTGCGTTACCGCTGGCTGGCTGCGGGACGTGATGCTTACCCCACAGTGTCTCAGCAGGCAGCTGTACGAAATAGCTCAATGCTCAGCCGTGTTTTCTTCCTCCTTTCCTCTCACGTGTTAAATGCGAGGGCTTGTAAAGGACCGTGGGGGCCAGGAAGCTATGCTCCGAAATGCACCAAAGGGTGTGAAAGGTGACAAAGTTGACCGTGCTGTGGCTGGGGCCCTGGCTTACGGCTTTGAAATCTCACACAGTGCCAATCAAACATTTCGGCAGCCATTGTGTAGCTCTTTTCATGCTCAGTTATACCAGGGTAAATAAAGATGCAAATCCAAAGCCAAGTAAGCAGGGAGGCTGCCAGACTGAATTTGAGGCGGGAGGAGAAGGCAGCTATTCCTTGGAAACAGGAGCAGAGCCTGATTTAACTTTTTTTTTCCTGTTTTCCTGCTTATCCATTACTGTAACTTGAAATAAATCAGATTTATCTATTCATTAGCAACATGTTAGAGATGCTTCATCCCTGGAAAAGGCAAAGAGTATTCAGGCAGTGACCATCTACAGCTGAGACAGGAGGTGGTAGATATTTCTGTCCTGTTTCTCAGCTGTAAATGCTGTTGCTGTGACTTCACATGCACGCAGGGTGCTCACTTTGGGTTTTGTAGACCTGGTAGCGATCTCTGGCCTCAGGGATTTGGGATCTTGGTGAGTGAGTCCCTTTGAGTCTTGCCCTCCTTCTAGAAGATCCCATGGTTGCGTGAGGCAGTGACTTACTGCTGTTATTAGGGTTTGGGCACCATGCAACATATGCAAAGCTCAGGACTGCTCACTTTGGACCGGAGGAGTGTCTGTGTGGGGCTTCTGCTTTCAGACACATCATAGCCTTTTACGTCCCACCTAGTGTGCAAACAGTGTTCAAAAGCACGTGTCCTTGTTATCAGACCCCGATCTGTAGTCTTTCAGCTGCCTGTTGTGCCTGATGAGGTTGCAGAGGCGCCCCGTAATGACCACGTTGCTCTGGAGCTCTGCACTTTGTGCCAGAGGCTTGTCTCAGTGAGCATCTGTTTTTGGGGCACTCCCCCAAACCTCTTGGCATCACTGACCACAGCTCCTCTGGGGTCCATGGGCATATGGTCAGGATTTATAGAGCTCCATGGGGTTAGGGACAAAGCCTAGGACACCTGCTTTTAGCAGGGGGATGAACTCTCCAGAGCAAGGTCTTTGCAGTCCCTGGTCCACCTTGTCTCCACAGAGGTCTCCAAACTCAACATCTGCGTGGTCAGGCCCACAGGGTGACACCTGGGCAGGAAGGAGAATGTCTCTGGTTTGCTTGGATGAGCTTTAGGACATGGTGGAGGGTTTCCATCTCGTGGTGCCAAGGCTGGAGTGCGTGTTGCCAAAGAGAGGTTTGAGGCTGGTCTTTCCAGAGTCATTAGTCCAGCCCTTTTGCCCTGGGGTGCAGGTGATGTTTTTGGCAGCTCTAGCTGTGCCTGGAAGGGCTGTGATTGTTTTGGTGGACTCGTGCAAGTTAGTGCTCCTCTCGCTCAGGCATTGAGCAGCAAATCCCACCTTGATACTAACAACAGTTGGATGGATGAAGTGCTTTGTGTAGGGGCATGGTGGCCACCAGGAAGAAAGGTGGATCTGCACGTCATAGGGCAGCAGGAGTTCCACAGAGTCTCCAGTGCTGCGCCCTCCGCACCGGCAACACGTGCCTCTGTCAGGACTGGGTGACAGCAAAAGTGTAGGTGGTGTACATCGCTTCCAACCAGTGTGACCCATGTTGGATGGGTGAGCACCAGAGAGGCTGGAGCAGTGCCGTGGAGGACCGTGGCCGCACCAGCAGACACCCTGCCTGCAGTTAGGCAGTGCTTGCCAGAGGTTTTATATGAACGTCTTTGATTCTTGGAACGGCTACTGTAACTGGTGTCTGTGAGTGTTAATTATCTTAATTGTGTTTGTATTCTCCAGGAAGGAATCGCTGTGTAGCTGGTATGTATATAACTGTTCTTAGGTTGTACAGAAATCACTTCACTTTAGATTTTTTTGCTATAAAGTAATTTTTTGAGATTTACAAAAGAAAAGAAAATGATTAAGACTGGACACAACCACGGCCTGTTTCTAATTCAGTCAGTTACAAAGTGGTGTGACACACCCCGTGTCCTACCGACCGGTCTTCACAAAAATCCCAGTCATGTAATTTGTAATTACCTTCGCTGGAGTGATTTTTTTTTTTTTTTTCCTAACTCTGCATCTTGCATTTGGAAATGGAGCATGGAGAACCTCAGCTTCAGCATCATTTGTTGGTTTCATAATTCAGCTTTTTCCATGCTGACTTTATTGACTGATCGCTGGTTAATAAAAATTAAACGTATGAAGTTGATATTGATTGGCTTCCATGTGACTATAGTTATGATTATTCATGAAGGTGCTTGAAAATTGCTATCCGGCAGATGAATGATACCTAGTTGTGAATTAAAAGTAAATGCAAACATTTTAATAAAGATTTTTTAAAAATCTACATCATAGTCAAAATCCTCAAATTAAGACTCTCAAGGGTCCAAAATTATGTCAGTCAGATCAGAATAAATTGAATCAGTGATTTGTTCGTTCTTGTTTGTGGATGGAAACCCATGGGAGGGAATGAATCTTCTATATTAATACCAGGATATCCAAGGAGAAATGAGAGGACCTTAGTGGAGAACTGGGAAATTGGGGGAGTAGGGATAAAACCAACATGACTTCGAGGTATTTAGGACAACACTGAAATTAGAAACTACATGTGCAAATGTAGACTCACTGTATATACACAGAAAATAGATTAAAAATGAGCTCTGCAGAGATATAAAGGAGGAGGAGTAACAGTATAGAGATAGCCAGAAGAAAACCAAACAAAGCAAAGTGTGACAGTGTTTTCCCTGTTGGAAGAGGCAGTTCAGGAGGTGTGCAGGGAATGAGATGCCTCAGGGAACACCAAGCCAGAGCCGTATTAATAGAGGTTGTTCTCCTGGCAGAGGAGGTAGGGGTTATATCCGGGGTTGCATTTTCCAAGTATGCTTAAATTTTTCAAAGAGACTTTACAACAAGCCAACTGGAGAAGAACCAGTCTTTCCAGGGAGATAGAGAGTGCATAAAGTAATGAAATGCTCTGTGTGTCTTTGAGACATCTCTGGCCCAAAGATAAGGAGCTTTCATATTCCACTAACATCACTATTTATTAGCGGTGCAGAAAAAAATGGGGCAGTGAATGAATTTACATGACTGATGGTGAATCCCCGAGCTGGCCCTGGAAAATTTGGCTCTCCAAAGGGAGAACATGTGCCTCTGAAAACCTCTGTTTACTCGGTGCCCAAGACCAGTGTCTGAGGCTGGAGGACGTTAAAATCCTCCCCATCTCTTGCCAGACGGCGTTGTCAACCTGAGCATCCCCATCGTGTTGCCGATCTCCACGGAGGACAAGGAGCGGCTGGAGGGCTGCGAGGCGCTGGCGCTCAGCTATGCGGGGCGGAGGGTGGCAGTTCTGAAGAGCCCCGAGTACTTTGAGCACAGGAAGGAGGAGCGCTGTGCCCGCGTCTGGGGCACCACCTGCGCAAAGCACCCACACGTCAAAGTAGGTTTGTCTCCTTGCTGCTTGGGGAAACTTGGCCAGGATGGGAAATGTGGGTGGCAGGGGCTAGAGAACTGAACCTTTCCAAGGTTTCGAGGGCCATGGGTGTCCTGTCTGCTCTCCAAGTCCAACTCCTCACCGGGAACCATCGCATCCTAAGCAGGCAGGACTGAATTTTTAGGCTCACGAGTTAATGCTGCGCTTGCTGCTTTACAAGAGCATCAGATAACAAGTGCACGGTGAAACGGAAAATGAGCATGCTGCTGAGGAGCTGCTCCTTTCGTTCACTCATCTTCACCGGTGTGCCTATATCCAAACATTTTTAGCACGACCACCAACTTTTAGCCCCCAAAGTTTTCCTGCACTTGGGGTGTGACGATCTCAGTGATGCTGTCAAACATTAATGCTGCAGATTGTAGACTCGTGCTCTTTTTAGCTACGTTTTACTCCTCGATTTGACTGTTTTGTACAGGCAGCCAACAAGGGTGTTATATTTTTACAGCTTATCTCTTCCCACTTACTCTCTGGCAGTACAAAGAACATCATCCCTTAGAAAGGAAGAGCTCCAGGTTATGCCGAGTGACTTGAGCTGCCTGCATAACAAGGCTAAGGCCATGTTAATTCTTTCCCCCCTACCTTAAAATAACTCTTTTAATTATTCAGCAGCAGTTGCTAACCTTGTGTCATGGTTTAACCCCAGCCAGCAACTAGGCACCACAATACCAGCTACTAGGAAGAAAATTAACTCTATCCCAGCTGAAACCAGGACACCTTGCAACAGGCTTATTCCTCCTGCATATTCCCAGCAGGAAAGAGCAAAGAGTGAGGTGGCGGAAGGCCTTGTGCCATTACTTGTAGACCCCCGGCTGCCAGAGAGGAGTCCAGCACCCAGCTGGGTGCAGTGGTAGGGTGTCAGTGGCTGATGCCTCACTTTACGGGGTTGTGCTGCTCATGACATTCAGTTCATGTGGTCACTGTAAGTATGTTTTCCACCTACAATGTGCTGAACAAGAAGGGAGGATCACCGTACAAGCAGTCAAGCCTAACACTCTTCAAAGGAGACTGGGAAAGGGAAAAGGAGATATTTTGCTGTCCCCTCTGTAATGCACATGTGCGTAATTCACAGATGGTGATGGAGAGTGGAGACTGGCTGGTTGGTGGAGACCTCCTCGTGCTGGAGAAGATCAAATGGAATGATGGGCTGGACCAGTACCGCCTGACACCGCTCGCTCTCAAGCAGAAGTTCAGAGAAATGAACGCTGGTGCGTGCCCTGGGTTAGCGCTGGTGACACGGCTCTTCTTGCTCTACCTCGCACCGGGAGAGTTCTGTGATTACTTGCTCTCAAGCCCCCAGCACCTGCCAAATTGCTTCTGTATGCTCCCAAAATGGGACTATTTGGGTGGGGTGAGCAGGAAGAGGGACACAGGGCACAGCACAAAGACTGGCACAGGGTCTCCTTGGTTAAGGACGGTGGTTGTGATGGGCTGCGTCCTCAATGGGCCTCTCTGAGCATGGGACTGGAAAGTGTTGAGCATCCTGCTCATGTCCTCCCTGGCAGGTCAGACCCTCTCTTTCCGCACCCCAGGCATTTAAAGGCCTGTGCTGATGTGCTTGACCTTCATGCATGGGGAACAGCTCAGGTGTCTTCTCCCAAGTGTCTATCCCAGCAGGATGGCAGGCATCAGTCACCTACCCTCACTTTGGGGAGAGAGTGTTGGCCTTCCTGAAGGTGCCATTGAGCTTGGAGATGCAGCAGGTCACTTGAAAAAGTCAGGGAACTCAGTGGAGGTGCATCTAAAAACATTGTATGAGAGCTGATTGATAGGTCTGAAATCAGCCCCAAAGGAAGGATGTGCAATGAAAATAAACTTGGCAGAGCAATGAAGAGGCACTGTACATGTATGAAACACTCATCTAAGGTATTTAAGGTCTTGCTCATGTGAAGATAGGACACACATCTTGCGATGTGCATATCTTAGGACTATCGAAAAGTATAGTGTGTAAATGAAGCTGCAGGGTCAGATGGTCAGCGCAAGCCTGTGACCCCTCTGAATCTTTTCCTTTTAGATGCTGTCTTTGCGTTTCAGCTACGCAATCCTGTCCACAACGGGCACGCCCTGCTCATGCAGGACACGCGGCGCCAGCTTTTGGAGAGGGGTTACCAAAACCCTGTGCTTCTCCTGCACCCCCTGGGAGGATGGACCAAAGATGACGATGTCCCGCTGGAGTGGCGGATGAAGCAGCACACAGCGGTACTGGAGGAGCAAGTCCTGGACCCCAAGTCGACCATCGTTGCCATCTTCCCCTCTCCCATGCTTTATGCTGGCCCCACAGAGGTAACGTAGCTGTCAGCTGCTCACTGCGACAAGGCTTGAAGCCTGTCCGTGGGGATGCCGGCTGCCGGCCTGTGCGCACAGCTCCAGAAGGCCACAGGGCAGGGAGTCGGTAGCCATTGCCTCACTGTTAGCTCCCTCGATGGTTTACCTGCAGCTTGCTGCGGCAGCCATCTCCCAGCAGAGCTCAGCTCTGTGGGCTCCCGCACTTTCACAAGCTGTGTGGAGAGCTGGGGAGAAGGGGGCTAGAAACAGATTTTACCACTGTGACCTTTTTCTCTGTTTGGCAGGGATGCTCGTTTTTTTTTCTCCCAGTGGTTTCCCTTCTGTTCCTAAATCAGTGGGATGAAAGCAGTAGATGCTGAACCTCCCCTGAAGGAGGAAGGAGAGGGATGTGTGGGCAGCCTTTGCCTGTGCGGGGCTCGAGGGCTGGCGGGCATTGTGTTTGCACGTTCAAAAAGCAAACCACTACCTACATTTGCTGCCAAATTGGAACAAGACCAGTTCCCATCCCCAGTGTTTCCCTTGAAATACATGTCCTTAGGAGAACTGTGATGTTGCATCAGGTCCAAGCAGTGGAAGACGAGTCTGGGCAGCCTCATCACTATGAGAAACTGGAGCAAGGCTGCTGACGTGTCTCCTTCCTTCCTTCCTTCCTGCGTGTGGATAGCCAGGATCTCTTTTCCAGCCCAGGGCAGATGGCTCAGTTGCTGCTCAGCCCTCAGCCAGTGCTCCTAGTGTCTCTCCTTTGCAGGTGCAGTGGCACTGCCGAGCTCGCATGATTGCCGGGGCCAATTTCTACATTGTGGGGCGTGACCCTGCAGGCATGCCTCACCCCGAGACCAAGAAGGACCTCTACGAGCCCACGCAGGGAGGGAAGGTCCTCAGCATGGCACCAGGACTGACCTCGGTGGAAATCATCCCCTTCCGGGTGGCTGCTTACAATAAACTGAAAAAGGCCATGGACTTTTATGACCAAAAAAGGTAACACAGGCAGCAGCATCGCTGTTTCTTCAACCTGCACAGCATGTGCAGTTTGCGATTGCATCTGGCTTGCAGCTTGCCAGGGGAGAGGGAAAAGCAGTCATCGTTCCTCTTAAGGAGAGGAATGGGGGGAGAACCTGTGAAAGCCACCCGCTTTCCCCTCCAAGAGCTGACACCAAGGTCAAGGATGGGTCTCATGAAACTAAAGATGTGCCTTTGTAGTCACCAGGGAGGATAAGAAACACAGTTTGGGGACTAAGTGGCAGTAGAAATACAGCCTCTTGCAGCTGGAGAAGTGTGTTACATAGAACTCCAGCTCCTCTCGAAAGAACAAACTGCATCGCTGCCAATTGTAAAGCCGGGTGTGAAGCCACAGATGAGTGCTGCTGGTGCCGGGAGGTTTCCGACCACGCACTTGGCACAGCGGAAGAGCTGAGCTGCGGACGACTCAGGCCGGTTGTGCTGATTTCACCCCTGTCTCTGTTTTGCCACAGGCATGATGATTTTGACTTCATCTCAGGAACACGCATGAGGAAGCTTGCTCGTGAAGGTGAAAACCCACCAGACGGCTTCATGGCCCCCAAAGCTTGGAAAGTCCTAACCGAGTACTACCAGTCACTGGAAAAAAAGAATTAACACTACTCCTCCTCCCTAGAAATACTTGTATTAAGAGTGAGCAATGATTGATTGATTGATTCCCTATGACACAGATCAGTTCCTTGGCATTTCCAATGCTCTGACTGTAGGATTTTCCTACCTGGGTCAGAGTGTTTTTTACTAATCAGCAATACTTTGAAATACTTTGAGCCTGGTCCTTCTCCCCTTGAAGCTGCCAGGAGTGTCCCCATGGAGCTGGAAGGGAAGGGCAGCAGGCCCTTCATTCCCAGCTGAGCGCGGCTGCAGGGAGCCCATCATGGCCTCTGGATGGGCCATCCGGATCGTTGTGGTGCCGCCAGAGCTGCCCACTGGCCCCTGGTGCAGAGCTGGGACATCAGCACCAGGATAAAAATGTGTCTGTCCCCTGCGTGGAGCAGAAATGAAGAAGTGCCTTTCCACTACCCATTGCCCAGCACTGCCAGAAGAGGCAGGCGCAGCCCCTGAAGCAAGGAGTGGTTGCTGCTGCCAGGGTGGGAGAGGAAAACGGGCACTCGATGCTCGGATTCAGTCGCTGCCCTCCAGGTTGTGCCTTAGACAATTTTCGCTAACAAACAGCAGGATTTTTTTAATGCCCTTGTTTTAACAGGATTTTTTTTAATCAGCTTTGACCATCGCCAGTTCCTTGTGGCTGAGTTGATTGCTCACTGTTCTTGCTTCTTCCTGCTTGACCTCTCCAGTCAAAACAAGACCTGGGCTGAGCGTTACTGGTGCTCCAAGTTCAGCTTTCCATGGGGACTCTGCCGTGGTGATCCCTGCGCTCACAGCCTGGTGGGCCCACGGGTGGGGGAAGCTGTCCTGGGAGGCACCGTAAAGCCCAGGAGATCTCTGAGAAAGCTCAGGGCAGCAAGCAAAAATTGGGGATGCTGTTTATGTGCTTTCATGTGTATCCTCCCACCTGGCAGGATCGGATTCCCCTTTCCTCTGCCCGCGCTCCTCCCATCTGAAAGGCGAATTAAAGGCAAAACAGCAAAATCACAGTGCAAGGTGGGTCCGAGCAGCTGTACCCGGTAAACCAGGCGAGAGATGGCTCAAGTGCTTGCCTTCATCCATAGGTGTAGACACATGTGGGTACAGGTGGCCTGATTTTACTTTGTACCTGTGGGATGGTGATGCTGGCTCCAGCTGGGGGACAGCCAGAGGATGGCAGAAAAGTCCTCGGGTCCCCCCAGCCATGTGGGGTGCTGCTGTGCCAGGGGTGATGATGCCGAGCCGAGAGCCTGTGGCTGGTGCTGCTCCCAGCTCTGGCTGGTGGAAAGTTACTGCAGACCTTATCTTCTCCCCCGCCCCTGACATGGACTTTGCTGTTGTGCGTGAGGCTTTTCCGCTGACTCGCAGCTCTTGCGGTGACCTCCAACGGGGCTGAGCAGCGTGACTCAACACTGAAGCTTTACCTGGCCCTGTCTGCGTCTCACACCGAGCACGTCCTGCTTCTCAGTGGTGGTTGAGGTTTGAGCACAACACCCTGCACGGCTGGGAGCCCCTCAGCCGCCTGCTTGCCCCTGCCTGTGCCTTGGCATCCTGCCCGCCGTCAGTGGAGGCTTTCCCAGGGAAGGGGCTGATGCTGCCGCCCTGCTGTGCCGGCGGTGAGGAGTATGCCACCTCCCTGGCCACCGTGCTCAGGTGTGAGGCTTTTAGGGGAGGATGACAGCTATGCACTTGTTAGTTATTGCAACAACCTGAATTGATCATTTTTGTACTTGGCCTTTTTTAGTACATGCCCCAGGACCAGTCAGAATGTGTTTCAAATGAAATGGAAATAGCATTCTCTCCTTCTTGTACTTCAGTTTTAATTAGAAATGGATCTACACTCAGTAAAAACAATGACGCTTCCGCTTGTAACTTAGGATAGTGAGCTACATCACAAGCTAAAACCTGTTTTGCTGTGGCCATGGTACAGGGTCCAAGACTACATATGTGATTAGGAATATTTTTGCAAAAAAGGCTTTTTTATCTGTCAACTGTTTTGGGGTTTTTTTTGTCATTTTTTTAAAGTATTCTGACCAAAAAGCCCGAAGCTGTATTATACCTCAAGAAAAATGCTGCAACACCCATGTTAGCAACTGAAAGCACACTAGCACCAGTGCCTTTTACACTCAGACCCTCTGGCAGGGACCTGGAAGACAAAAGCAATACTCCCATTATTGATTGCAATATTTGTCATTTTAAAGTAGTGAAATAGTGCTGTTGCTGCTCATCTTAAAATAATCAAATGGTCAAAAACAACAAAACCCTGCAGTAAATCCAAATGGTTACAGCAAAACACAAATGTTGTATTATCCTTTTTAAAAGTGTAGTGTACTGATTACCTCTGATTAAAATAGGGTATGTGGACTAGTTTTTTTTATAGTGTATTTATTAAAGACATGAGACTGGAATTTGTACCTCAACTGATGCATCTCATGATTCAATATATTCTGAACTTGATACTCTGCTACAAAGCACTCACTTTTAGTACAAATAAATATTTATACGTGTAACTAACCCTCACTTTGTAATTTTTTTGGGGGAAAATTACAACCACAATGGTTCCTCTGGGGCTGTGCCAGGTCCGTAGCAGTAGGAGCTCCCCCTGTTCCAGCCTTGCACGCTCAGTGCCTTGGACAGGGCAATGGCTGGACCAGGCAGCAGCAAGGCTGCCCATGGAGCTCATTTCCTTTTGGAAACCTCAACTAATTTACCTTTTTGCTGTCTGGGCTGTGTAGTGTTGAACAAGTCACATTTAACAAGCATAGTACCTGCACTGTCTTCTGCTGCCCTGCCTTTCTGTGCTGTTTAACCAGCACTTAAGCACCTTCTAGCTGCTAAAAGCCTGCAGAAATAGGGGATGATGCTGCATCGCTTGGTCTCTTCCCAATGGACCTGCTGTAAATGGGCTGTGGGTCTCGGAGAGTGCTGCAGCCCATGCTCCCCAGCTTGGGGAGAGACAAAGGGAGAGCTTGTGAGCCCTGGCAGCTTCTGTTGGATGGGGACAGAGGCCCTTTGCTGCTGGCCTGTGCCTGCCCCGGTGCAGGGCGGGACGCTGGCTGCAGGCATGCGGGCTGTACCCTCAGCTCACCCTGCCGGGGCTCCCAGCACCCCACTCATCCAGAGCCGTCCCCCGCAGCACCCCGGGCTTCACCCTTGGCTGCCTCATCCAGGGTTCCAAAGCACCAGCCAGGGAGAAGATGCCTGTGCTCAAGCCAGTCTCAAAAAAACCCCCTGTATGTACAGAATTCAAACATGAGCACACAGGTGAAGGTTACAGAAAACAGATCAACAAAAACACAGAGCAAACAACCACCACATTTATTTACCTTTTACTTAAGACTACGCCAAAGGTTTCTGTTTGCGCTGCAGTATCGGACTGGCAAGATTAGCTGCTTTACAGCCCGGGGACAATTTAGGTACGGTCTGTACTGTGCACACTGTCTACCGGTGACTGCTATGGCTGAACAGGTCCTCAGCAAATCATTTGCCTGCTGGGAATGCCTATGCCTCTTCCTGCCAGAGGCAGGACCTTTAAACCCCAAGAAAGACCCATTTCTCACAGAAAACTCTGCGCTACAACTCAGAGCTCAGCACAGAGACTGGATTGGCCTCAGCCCATGCCTGTGAAACTACGCTTGGTTTGAGCAACTGGCCCTAGAGCCGCAGGAGAGGGGTTAGGCTTGCCCCTGCTCTAAGGAGAGGCAGGATCAAATGGTGAGGAGCCTGGACCAAACCACTGGAGCTGTGGCATTAAAGCAGCCACGTTCCTGCATGGTAAACTGTGCCCTTCCCTAGCAAGCTGCTAGGAGGGGCTGTGCTTTGTCAAGGACACCGAAAGGTGCAGCAGGAGCAGGTGAGTATAGAAAAGTCCTTGCAAAAGTGGAAGTTACACTCCAGCTGCAGGAACTGTCCTCAGGGGCAATTAAAAATGAACCCTTGCGCCTCTTCACGTCAGTCCCTTAAGCCTGCAGTGATGCATTATAGGCATGAGGTAAAGGCAAGTTCCAGCCAGCATGCAGCCACGTTTTTGGAGAAACACGCAAAAAGATCAGAGCTCAGCTGGCAACTAGAGGATGCCCCCAGCATCTGAAGACAGTCAAGGGTTTGTTCCTATTCCTGTGCGCTCGGTTTGACATTTAAACTCGCTTGAGGACACACTTTACACTCACTCTGTTAACACCAATTAAGACAGTGTTCTTCAGCTGCCTGCACTAGATCTTCACCAAGCAGGGAGCACCCTGAAAAAAGGAAGGAGACACAGGACGAGCTGCATGCACCAGCCTGGCACTTCTCAGTGTAATAACTACTGAGAGGGGCTGGAAGAACTTCAGAGTCAGAACAGGACTGAAAACAAACTGAATAGCTGGAGAACTTCATCTGGCACTTGCATAATTTAAACCTCCCAAGAAACCAGCTTCCAGTAAGTACCACTATTTGCATATTTAAGGCTAGTCCTTGAACTCGGGCTCTCCCAAAGACTTACATCACTGCTTTCTGCCCTGTCACCAAGATAACTTGTGGGATTAGCATTCCATATCCCAGACTTTTAGATTTCCATAGCCCAGTATCTTCTGGTGTGCCTGATTTCCTACATCCTTGGGTTAGAGCAATATGCATTTACCATAGACCTTTCTCCCCCCATATCAGAAAGCAAAGTAATTACTAAATTATTAAAAAAAAAAAAAACAAACCAAACAACAAAACACATTCAGTACCCAAGGAGATTAAATTGGGTCAAACTAAGACCTACTGCAGCTGGTGCATTACACAACCAGTGTGCCAGACAAGAGGACACCAGTGAGAAAGTTCTGCTTAATGGAAATTGTCATCAGCACCTGATACTGTACGATGGCTGGCTCCAGCTGTCTGTATTTTACTTTGCAGTACGTTAAGTTTTACATCGTTATCTTGCTTTCAATGCTTACCTTCCCTCAACAACTAGCAGAGCTGCAACACAGTGCACCACGCCGGGGGTCTGAACAATTCCAATTACGTATTTGTGTTGAATTAGCGCACAACGCATATTATAAGAAGAAAAATCAAGTTACTGAAAACCTACTGACAATAACGTTACCAAAACACTTTTGCCACTTAAATTTTTAACCTTTTGCCTTTATCACTATGTAACATTACATGAATTTACTAAAACTGTTACCAGCAA